AATCGCACGAAACAGAGATGCTACTGAAGCACCGAAACATGCGAAAGAGGAATTCACACGAAATAGAGATGCGACTGAAACACGCGAAAGAGGAATTCATGCAACATAACATCCAAAGCCCAGCAAAGTGCGCGGGTTTCTTCGCACACGTACACCCCCACATTCAGGCGAAACGAAGCCACACCCCGCAGAAAATCGAGAGACCAGCAAATGCAAAGGACAACCGGCTAGAGAGAGATAGAGAGAGAGCAGACCTGGCAGTCGCAGTGGAAGAGACGGAGACCGGCGGACCCGACGGAGACGGAGACCGGGCAATGGAGACGGAGACGGTGAGAGTCCGAGAGGAGAGAGTATCGGAGATTGAGACTTGAGAGGCGTCGACCAAGAGTGACTGAGTAGCTTGTGTTGTGAGAGAGTATCCTGATTTAGGGTTTTGAATTTTTTAAATTAAAAATTAAAAATATTATATTATATATATTATACTGGTCCGGTCCGGGTGGGCGGGTGGACGGTTCCACACCCGGAACCGGGAACCGGACCGGTACCCACCGGTTCCAAAAAATTGGAACCGGGAACCGGACCGAAACCCTTAGAACCCACCGGTCCTGGTCCGGTTCCGGGCGGTCCTGGGCGGGTTGGGCGGGTACCGGGTTTTTTGCACACCCCTAATGTTAATGGGCATATACTTCTAAGTACACGAGTTTATGGACTCTAAATTGTTAGTTTGTTTATAGGATTTTGGAGTAATGGAGGTTTAATTGGTGCCCACCATTTTGTCTACATCTATTTGATGATTCTTAATGTTCTTGTGAAATTATTTGTGGTATTATAGCTCCATCAAATCTGGAATCAGAGCTAAAGGTTGCTTGTTGTGCATTATTGAGTGGTGCCTCAGGTTTGCATTTGGGGATTTTGTGACTAGAAGTGCTTATAGTTGAGGTTAAGGACATCACAAGTTCCATAATTTTTGTACAACACTTATTTGAGGACCATTACTTTTTTTTTCCCAACCACTTGAGTGCCATAACTTCTAATAACGTTCAATTAAGTGCACAACTTTCAATTGATCACTTACGTGCCATAACTTTTGAATAACGTTCACCAAAGCATTAGAAATCTAATGTGGCATGGCATTTATGGTGAACTTTTTAAAAATTTATGTCACCTAAGTCACTAATTAAATAGTTATATGGCACTTAAGTGATCGAATAAAAAGTTATGGTACTCAAGTGAGGTCCTTACATAAGTTATGTCACTCAAGTAATCGAAAAAAAATTATAGCAATCAAGTGAGCGTTGTACAAAAATTATGGCACTTGTGGTGTCATTTTCCCTTATAGTTGAAATTGTGATTGCGGTGTGTCAATATGGAAGGAAACATTATGCCATCCCAAATTTCTAAGTCAAACAATGGAAATTATGGAAGCACACAGAAAAGTTGATAAGGTTGTTAAAGTTAGGTTTCGAATGCTAAAGCGTGAGTTTAAAGCATTAAGCATGGTTGAGTGGGAATCGTCGAAACGAATATCGGTAGAGTCTTGAAAGTAGTCAATGAAATGAAAAGGAAGTGAGACCATGGATGATATTCAATTCATGGATAAAATTGTTTCTACTTTATCGGAAATATATGTGAACCTTGGGATGTTGGTAGAGGCAACAGAAGAATTGGAGATGTCGCTAGATAAATTGTTGGCTATGCTTAAAATCTGTGCAAGAGGATGGAGAAGAAGACAACGACCGTTCTTGACCATGCTCTCCAATCAAAGCTTACTTTGGACGAGTCCAAGAAAACAACATCAGATATGATGTTGCCGAGCCTAGATCGGGCATGGCTGGCCTTGGGTGACCCCCAATCAAAGTGTCCTCCTAACCGCTACTTGCTTCTCAGGATAATCTCCAACAGGATGATTGAAGATGTCTATATAAGAAAAAAATCATTGAAGCCAAAAAGAATTGGGCAAAAAATCTAGAACAAGTTGAAAGTGTTCAACGTTGTATTATGAGCATTTACTGTTTCATTCACTTGTGATTTCTAGTGTAATGTTCTTGCTGCATTATAATCATGAGTAGATTAAGTGTACAAGCTTAATAGCAGCATCCAAGTCCTAATAGTGTAATATATCATCTTATAAGATTAGTGCTTGCTGGTTGTAACTTATCTTGTTGAACACTAGTGCAATCCAACCCAACTTGTGGCCGCTAATATGGAGAGTAGACGTAAGCTTGGTGATACAGCCGAAACATTATAAGTTACCGTGTGCTTTCTTTTCTTCTAATCCTACCCAATCCTTTGCACATCACTGATATTTCTAAACTTCTCCTGATTTCCAAGTATTGGTTGCTGATTTCCATATAATTTATAAAGTTTGTCAATTCAACCTATTCTCTCTCTCTCTCTCTCTCTCTCTCTCTCTCTCTCTCTCTCTCTCTCTCTCTATGCTTCATCTCTGAAACTCGTAGACTTCATAGATTTGCAAGAATGTATCGGTGATGAGCTCTCCGGTGGGGAGGAAGAGGAGGAGTAGGGTTTTAAATTTGGAGATGCTCTTGTTTTCCTTCTCGTTGTCGCTCTTGACCTTGTTCTTGGTCTTTCTCTGACTTCATTCTTGCTTTCTCCTTTGTCGTCGGCTCCTTTGGAGAGGGAGCTTTCATGGCAGCTTTGACCATCTAATCTGCTCTCTTTTGCAAATCTAATAAGGTGATTTGCCCCAATTTGAAGAATTAGGGCTAGGGTTACTTGTGAACGAAATTGAATTTTGCCCCAATTCGATTATATTGCATTAGGGTTTTTCAATTAAATCACTAAACGAAGTTGTTTACCTTCTCACTTGCTGACTTCATCTTGCCGGCAAGCCATGTTGGATGTTATATAATAAATTTAAGCTATGTTGGACTTTCTGGCGAGATAAATCACCGATGACACTCAAGTGAACGATTTTTACTAAATGTGACACTTAAGTGAGCGAAAAAAAAGTTATGGCACTCAAGTGAATGCCATACGAAAGTTATAACACTTCTAGTATTCTTATCCTCATAAGTCTTAGTTAAGTCCATGAAGCTAATAGCTCAGCTCATCTTTATTTCTTCTACAACTAGTTTCTTAAAAGATAATAAAACAAAAAGCAAAAAGAGTAGAGGAGAGTCTACAAAAAGAAAAATGGAAAAGAGAGGTTAATCGTGAGAGAGAAAAGCGAGGTTTCAGTTCAGCTAGTCACAGACATCTCGACACGCCAAATCAACGTCATTTCGAATTGGTAAGATTTTCAAGCCTTCATTTGTTTAATTGAAATTTAATCGGAGAGAATTCCTTAGTAAAGTTGTAATTTCGGATTGCGATGAATTCTTAGTTGATGGGTTGATTTCAGAGGTAGTTGAGCTGTCAAATCATATTGTGCGGAAGCTTTAAAATATCATGGAACCATAAGATTTTACTGAACTAGATTTAGATTCACGGTTTGGTCAGGATGAAATTTTGAAGTTTGTTAAGCATTGTTGGAATCTAATACGACTATTGTGTTTGGCATCGGTTTTTACCAGTCTCTGGCTATCTTTGAGGTTGGAGACAAATTCATCTGCTAGGTTTATTGAGTTAGCTGTCCAATGACTCCGGACCCACTTGAAATGGGCATTGAAAGAGCGCGTGAGCTGCCGCATTACAACGGACAGAGTTCGTTTTGCTATTGAATAAGCTTAGTATAGTCGAGGCTTAGTCAAGGTAACAATCTACTTGATTTTGATATCCGTTTTCCACTTCATAAATAGGATTTCGAGTTTTTCACTCAAGTAGCTTTTGTTGTTTGGTTTTGCATTTTAGGTGGGTGGCGTTTATCTCTTCTATGATTTATGTCTCGAAAATGATAGGAATTAGAAATGTTATAAGCTATGAAAGGGGCTCATTTGGCATGATATTTACTTAAAAAAATGATGTCTAGAGCATATTTATTTCATAGAACTTGATTGGCCATTTATTACCCTTTTGGTTGTTTGAAATTGCATGGTAAAACACCTCTTGAAATAGTTTGTGAGTTGACCATTAGTGAAATGGTTGGAGAAATACTATTTAAAATGAATTCTTCTTGATGGTTAGAATTATGAAAGGTTATATGTTTCGGTTTTTGAACTCGATTTATGAAATGAATTCTAGATTCTTTTTGTGGGTTGTTGGAGGATGAGTTAATAGTTTTATGCTCATTGTTGCTACGTTGTGAACCAATTGAGTGCTTCTGTTTGCATACTGACTTAAGACATCCTACTTGGGCTAAGGCATCGGCTGATAGTGGTGGAGACTACGCCGTGAGGGTATCTTGATAGGCCTTGTCATAAGGCGTTAAGCTTGGCCATAGTTTGATATTAAACACTAGATTGATTAATGGATTGGACCATTGCTGTTTGCTTCATTATTAGTGATCGAATGACTACTTTTGATATGTATAAAGTTTTGTGGAAGTGATGTAACTCATCTATAATCTTGTAGCTATATTAATACTGGATTAGGATAAATGTTTCTGGTACAATTTATAAATGTGCATAGTGGAGGCTCGATCTGTTTAGAAGATAATTGTACAACTCACTAAGCAGTGGTTTACACCTACCATTCATCTCAATTCTTTTTTAGATTCTATAGCCACTGGCAAGTAGGACCAGAGCAGTATCAATGGGGGATTTTTGGGAGTTGAATTTCGATTTGAGATAGCTGTATGTATATTGGAAATGGCATATGATAGGTTTAGTTTGATGGTCTTTGAGGATGTATATGTATTTCTTTTGGTGGACTTTAGGATTCTAATCCTATAAATAACTCGTTTTATGATATATAGATGGATATATATTTTTTGATTACATGTTAATGTTATATGAGACTGTGTCCTTCGAATAGGAGAACTGCCGTGTCGTTGCCCCTATTTTTGTAGAGTTGGGGCATGACTAACAATTTATGAACATCTTAACATAAGCCAGATCTATGGGAAGTGGACTCGTAGTCTAAAGCAAGAATAACTAAGATTATTGAGCGACAATCATAAGGGAAGTAGAATTACCTGCAACGATTATGACAAGACGAGAAGTTTGGCAACCAACTTTGCCATCACCAGTCATGCCAAATGGGCAGTTGCATGTGTAGTTCCCAGGCGTATTCTTGCAATTCCCGTGACATGGATATTGTTGTGGATCCTTGCACTCATCGATGTCTATATTAAACAGAATCTGCCGTAAACTGTAATGTATGTTTATGTGTTTTTTTTCCTTCTTAAAATTACGTATTGGTTGTACAGAAGAATCTAACTCAACTGAATAAGAAACTAGTTTGAGGAGGTTGGATCGTGGAAACTATGGCCAAATCCAAACATGTAACTTTTGGCTCGCAAAGAGAACAGAACAATACCTTGCCATCCTTGGGACAGTGGGGAGGCATAGGGATTCCCCGTGTACCCAGCCTCACAGAAGCAACGATAACCCTTCCCATTCGTGAAGTAAGAGCAGTTACTATTGGCGCCACAGGCATAGTTTGATTGATTCAATTGCGCTTCCTCGCAGGTCAAATTCCGTTCAACTACCCAATCCAGGACAATTCTTGAGTAAATGTCGTTTTGCATATCATCTGGGACAGGAAGTTTGTAATCGGAGACGTTAAACGACTCCTGGTCCACTACGAACGCTGATCCACAAGAGCTGAAGTTCCGAACTGAGGTGTAATTCGTCGAGCTGTCCATAGATATAGTGAGGTTCCTGAGGCTCTTGGGGATTGACGTCTGACAGCACCCGAGGCCGGAGCAAGTGCTCTCGGCCATGAAGTCAATGTCCTCGCGGCAATAGGAGAAGCATCCACTACCGAAAGTCCCGACAGTGTCTGAGATAAGAGCCCACGTGTCACAACCGAAGACTGAGCTTGTTCCGGGTGTCCGAGAATGTATAGGGCCTTTCTTCGGTCAATATCATATATGTGTCAGGGCGAGAGCCGTTAAGCCGATGGCCACTCTGGTCATAACAGTCGAATGATATGTAATCGCCGACGGTCATCGTCCCGTTCTCCACAAATATGTTAAACACCGGAATGTTGCCAAGGACCAGCTTTGGGGTTGCCAAAGTGTGGTTGCAGGTGAGGACGAGGTAGGAGTTCCTCACACAACTTTCGTCAAGACCGAAGGGGAAAGGCACACTTATGTTCCCGCACGTTCGGTCGCAGTTGTCCTTCTCGGTAAAAGTGGCCAAGGCCATTGGCAGAAACCACAACACAGCCGCTCTCATCGTATCTTTTTCCAATCTGTGCTACCTCTGGCTCCTCTTACCTGTTTTTGTAAATCTAGTTTTGATGCCGATGCTTCAGCGGCAGCTAAGTCTGTCATCACATTTGAAGACATAGTCATCGATAGTGACCTGTGGAGAGTGATTGCTGCCTTGGAGAACCGTGTTTTCGGTTCGCACACAAGTTATGGTTATTACCTATAGGGAAACTAATCTAAATGTAAACGTGAATGATTTTCATATTCATTTTTTTTGGGCGGGCCCTTAGTGGGTCCGCTTGAGGAAATCCCATAAACCCCCTATCCAGAGGAGGGTCTCCCCATTCCCAAGACATATCTATCTTCTAATTTCTCGAGCGGTAAGAGGAGAAAACTTCATATACATTTCTAGGGGACTTCTAGTTTATCTACATCTATCCCAACGAGCTGTTTATCAAATCGTTGCAATTGATATTCGATCCTGAAGAGAAGGAAGAGATCTTTGGAAAGTGGGTTTTTATGATCCGATAAATAATCAAACGTATTTAGGGAGAACTGTAATGTATGTTTACACTAGAAGGTGTAGAGATTGTTTTCACTTGTTTGCATTTAGGGAGTTAAATTTGTATTTGCACTCAGATGAGCTTGTTCCATGTGCACTTACCCTCTTGCAGAACGGAAAAGGCACGTTCACGTCTCCACACACCTGCGAATGCAACCTCTGGATGTGGTGACATGGTTCGACAGAGTCGTCAACAAAAGCCTCTCTTACTCGAAGAAAGTATTGGTAGACACTTTTTTTGGCCAGAAGTATTGATAGGCGTGGACTTTGGATGATAACTGTGGAAGTTAATCACAGTACACAGAATATGGAAATTGGCCTTTTTTTAGTAGAACCGAGTGCGGGGCTTTCTGATCTTTGACATGACAGGGAGTGGTCTATTATCTGTCCTACCTCACAATGAAGAGATTCGAGAAGTGACGTCTCAAACGATGGCGTTGGAAAAGTTTGTATTTGCACTAAGATGAGCTTGTTCCGGGTGTTTCCTTCATGGGATAACAGGGGATGATTCTTGTTCCATGTGCACTCTTCCTCGAGCAGAATGGAAAAGGCACGTTGACGTCTCCACGCCTGCGAATGCAACCTCCGGATGTGGTGACATGGTTCGACAAAGTCATCAACAAAAGCTTCTCTACTTAAAAGAAGTATTGGTCGACATTTTTTTGGCCAGTAGTGTTGATAGGCACAGACTATGAATGATATAACTCTAGAAGTTAATCACAGTACACAATATATGTAAATTTGCCTTCTTTTAGTAGAATGGAGTGCGGGGTTTCTTGATCTTTGACATGACAGATAGGAGTGATCTATAATTATCTATCCTACTTAAGATTGAAGAGATTTGAGAAGTTACGTCTTAATAATTGCCACTTTACCTTCCACGATAACTTCTCTGACTACCTGTACATTAATTTGTTTACACAATTACAGACATTTCTCGAAAATGATTCACTAACGGCAACGTTACCCTTTCAAAAGAAACGGAGCCATCTCCACCGTTGATGTTTTCAATATAATTAGGTAACTTTTTTACTCGTTGTTTTTGGGAAATCTAGAATAGAACATCTCATTTGCGATTTGCTAAAATCCCATTAGAAGGGATTACTTATATATTGAAAAAAGAGAAAATAAGGGAAAAATATAATCTAAATAATATTAAACGCTACAATATAATAATCACGACTATGAAAACAATATCACTAAAAGGAGCTTGTTAATGCTAGTAAAAATATGCATTAAATTTCCAAAATAGAAAAAAAAAAAAAAAAAAAAAAAGCACCAGGAGGACTGTTTTGTTGACCGATGAAGATATTGTTGTATATTTCCATGACTTCTCATTCTTTGTGCTCGAGTTAAGTTGGTTTAAAAGAGGCTTTTGTTACATTTTATTTGTGAGACTCGATTAGGGAATTTTCACCATAGTAAAACGATCGAATTGACTTTACTAACTTCTTTATGATTTTGTGCCTTTGACGAATACAGCAAAAATCTGTGCCTCGCTTTCCTCTCTACTTTGCCTTTTTTGCGATTTTGAGTCTCTAATGCAAAATCCTACTCCTTTTGCATATTTGTTACGAAATTCATAAACCTCCTCATAAGAATTAAAAATTCATACCCGTGTCCGTGTTAGGTGTTTTCCTTCTCCTCTCTGCCCCGTAAAAAAGAATAAGAGATATTCCATACTTATTCAATGTAACACTAGTTTAATTTCTTTTGATGTTATGATCCGTTCTTCACAATCATATTATTGGTCTCATTTTCGTTGCATTGACATGATTTTCATCAATCACTTTACCTTTCATAAGAACTTCATCTATCTGAAAGGAATTTAAATAGAAAGGATTAAGCTCTGTATATCAAAAAAATAATATTTTCACAATGAAGAACTGAAATTGATGTCAAATACCTCATTTTATCGAAATTAAAATCACCAGACTAATCGATGAATCATTCTTGTTTAAAAAATAGAGTCTGACTTGTATTTTCATTTGTAAACAAAAAATTTGATCGCCTTTGTATTTTCAATGGATTTCGAAATGTTAAAATAATCCAAAGTTATAGTATGATAGATGCTGTTGTTATTTGATTGAGCAATGCTATAATTTTAAAGTTGCACTTCAATTTCTTATGAAATTTTTTTTGCTGGATTATGATAACTTTGGATTCATTTCTTTGAATAAAGGGAAAAGGTCATAAAAAAAATCTCAAACTATACCCACTGTGACACATTTGTTCTGAATTTTTTTTGTGACATCAAAAGCCTCAAATTATGCCCAATGTAATATATTTATCATAAACATTTCTTGTGACAAAAAAAACCCCAATTTTTTACCTATATGACACATTTATCCTCCGTCAAGCTTCTATTAGACGATTTTTCAGCCAAACAACGTCCTTTTTGTATTGACTTAAGTCACGTGAGTGCCATGTCAACATTATTTTTTTCCTAACGTTCATGTGGGCAGATTGTTAAAGGTTGTCTTTGACAGAGGGTAAATATGTCACATAAGTACAAATTCTGGATTTTTAGTATCATCGAAAAAATATAAGGTAAATATGTCACAGTAAACATAATTTAGAGTTTTTGCCCTGAATAAACTAGAAACTAAAGCTTGTAATCACAATAGCACCGCTAGAAATTCTAGCTAACGGTGCTCTTATGCCAGCACCGTCCTTTATGAGCTTGGCTAGCTTAAGGGCACCGTGAGTTTAATTTTCTAACCGTGCGATACCAGCCACAACTTTTAATGGAGGAAACCAAGACAATGCTTTGACCGGTTTCATTTGTTTGTTTGTTTGTTTTTTTTTTAACTTTCCATTTTTTCTTTTTTCTCTTGGCTTAATATAGGATTAGAGGATTCATAAAGGCCCAAAAAACACCAATCTTAAAGGGAAACTCTTTAGACAGAAAAAGGGAAACTCTACATATCCTAGAAAGTAAAAATCCTTGAATATGAAAAATGAAAAAAAATATATATACCACAAAATAGATAACCGTGAGTAATAAAATATTATCACTAAGTAAAAAGAAATCATTAATGTCATTAGAAAGATCTACTACATTTTAAAGATGAAAAAATACTTGAAATGTTGGCTTTGCAACCAAGAACAAAATCATTGTGCATTATGACTTCTTATTTGTTTCGCTCAAATCAATTGCTCTAGAATTAATCTCCAGTGGCCTAAGAAAATTATTGAAGTTGCTTTCATCACAAGTAACTTAGGATCGCATGGCGTCATGACTCTTTCATCACTAGCATCTTCAATTGAATTGTTCATCTCGTCTTCATCACTAAAATTATTTTCATTAGTGAAGTTGCTTTCACCACATCTCAACAAAATAAGAGAAAAATTAAGCATTGTTATATATTGACAGATAGCAACTAAAATTAGGCGTCAACGGATAAATTTTACTTTCTTGCAATCAAAGAAGTAAAGACTAATGAACCTTTCTCAATACCATCCACAATTATGTGTTAACCGATTACTAAATCCTAAAATAATCTGAAGTTTAAAAGTATACTAGATATTCTCATTCATTCTATTTTTTTGAGTTCTTAAATTTCTTTTATTTAGGAACAATATCCACCAAATCTTTTCTTTGGTTGGAGAATAATATTCACTATTTTTAAAATTATGATTGCATTCTTCATGTATTACTTCTTGTTCGAATAATACGCTTTGATTTTTTTTTCAAAATAAAACAGAAAAATAAATCTCACTTTGCTCCTTTTTAAAATAGTGGAAATCCCACCAATTCGTTGACAAAAAAAATTATGAAACCGGCAAAGCTTGCATCCTTGTTCCCAACTTTAAAACCGGTGGCTGACATTCCACCGTCTATTTCATGAAATGACTGTACGGTGATCTCATCATTTTCCAAATTAATTTATTACCTCTTCTACTCCCCCAATCTTAATCGTAATCTCTCTCTCCACATACGTGTTTCTTCTTTTCCGCTTTTTGAATCTTTAATATATGAATAACATAGACTTTTACACAAGGGAGCAGGCGTTTCCACTTTTTCAGTACACAGCTTTTCTTTCTTAAATGCCTTTGACTCTTTATTGATGACATCTAAATTTTTCAATTGAAAAAGAAGTCAATGTAAACTTTATAATTGAAAAAGAATTAAGTCTATCGGATGTATCCGCACAACATAATACTGAGTCATACATCATGGTGACCTGCGTGGGAGAAAGACCGCTGCATTTGAAAAAATTCAAACTTAAAAAAACACACGGTTTGACTTGTTCTTGGAAAGAGAGGGGAGTCATCATTTGCCTTGGTCTATATATACTCCAAAGATCAACTATATCGACCAATATCTTTCCTGTGTTGTTATTTGGGTCAGGTATAGAGAAGTTCATTCTGACCTTTTCTATGAAAGGGCTCGGCGAATCTGAAAAGGAAAGAAAAGAGACAAGTGCGTTCTATAAAAAAAAAGTAACAAATAATAAACTCTTACATTGGCTTAGCCAACGAGGTGGCCAGGAGATTTCTGGAAAAATTATCCAAAAAATCCTAAATCTATTGTACAGTGGTCACTTTAGTCTTAAGCCTTTCAATTAGG